CTCACGGGTATCAAGCCAGAGCGTTTAACGCGCGTGAGGTGATGACAGTCTGTGAGGGTAGCCGGGAGTCGCTGCAACTGGACGGGAGATGCCTCAGTTCTAGTTAGTGGGGGTGGCCGTGTGTCAACGGTTGTCGGGGTCATCGACCGACAAAACGGAGCCGGAGAAGGGGGTCCTGGAGAGGCTGCTACGCCCTCGAGTGCTGACCTTTACGCTCATGCTTGTATACATTTCTGCGAGTAATTGTCAATGTCTTTATTAGGGTAATGCTGCAGAAACTTACCGAGATTGTGAGAATTTTCTTGAAGGATACACACTACTTAAGTAGGCGTGTTTCCGAGCAAGACTTGTATATGTGACTGGGAAGATGTTAATTCAATCTCTACCACACCAGCATAAACTTGGTGTCTTGTCACCTGCTAAGCAGCTTTGAAGCCGCACCGAAGCAACATTTCTCGTTTAAACCGTGTGTCACATTTCCATCCGAGGTTTCGTCAGTTTCCCAGTCGGCAGCTCAGCTGTCTAAGGTCAATGAGATGCTTTTTCCCCATCGACGGACTTCTTTACTTTCCGTAGGTGAAGCGAGAACTGCAGCAGATACACAAGCGTCTCGCCGCGGAGGGTGAGGATGCGGCAACCGGTCTGGCGAGAGAGCTCGACCAACTGGATTCTGACATTGTCACCCTGAACGAGATCACTGTGGCAGCGAAAACCCTCAAGTAAGACTCCTAAGCTCTTACCACTGTGGCCCAGGGTTTCCTCTAACAACCCATTCTCCGCTTGTTGGTCTATCTTCGCCGGTGATTTATATCTTGCATTCTTTCTTTAGAAACAACGCTGTCTACCTGGATGGCTGTTTGAACAAATTCAACCAGGTTTACATCAACACTGCATGGAATTAGCACTTGTGATGCACATTGTGTCGACCCCTCCAGTTATCACCCACTCTCTTCTCATTACAGTCCTTCTACTATTTTTACAGACTTCCAGAAGAGGAAAAGTCGCCCTTTCTTTCATTTCGTGACTTCCTGCATCTATGCCGATAGGGACGACTTCTTCTCCGTGCTTGCATGCAACTGCCCCCGTGTAGATCATCTTTCCTAGCAGATCATATCGTTTGAAATCTTTTGTCTTATTGGCACGACCGAACAATCCTGTTGTCTTTACTCGGATGGGCGAGTTTGATGTTGTGAGGCCGGAGTTGGCTATTTGCCGCACCTGACTCGTGGGCATCTTCGACCAGATTGGGCAGATTATAATCTTGAATGTTCTGACAATACCGCTCTCCTTGTCTCAGTCTCGGGTGATCTACGGTCTGTGGTGTCGCGGGCTAATGAACTCGCACAAGCGCAATGACCTTCCCTTTCCATATTAAGTGCTGAGACTTCGCCGAGGCGGAATAATAAGCCACGCGGGGAGCGCACAGGTGATAACTGTTCCCAACGCCATGGTCGGTGGGTCAGATGGTCGGGCAATCATCACACCAACATCCAGCACATGTGATAAAATTGCAGCAATTAACGACGCGAATTTCGGCCCTCAAACATTCATCACACCAAGTGCAACGATCCCTGACGAAGTGAGTGAGCCATGAATACTCGTAGGTTTGCGGTAGCATGGCTACTGCATGCTATAAATACTGCAGCCCCTTGTGCATGAACTGCCCGTATCTGCTTTTGTCTCTGATGATGGGCTTGATCAGGAATCTGAAACGTCATGTCCATTAAGCTCTTTTTCCAGCGACCGTGTCTCCTTCTCCTTCTTCTAGCTTATTAGTCGTCAGTCAGTCACACTAAACCCCGAAGTGTGTAACACCAGGGGCTCGATCCCGCGGCCTGTTAGTTAGAAGTCCGGCACCTCTAACCACTGAGCTACAAGCCCCGGGAGTTCAACACTTCTGGGTTGGGTATGGCTGACTGATGACGGTGAATAAGCCAGAAATGGCCATTCTAGTCTCCCTTATCTTTGTCGGCAATGCCATGCGCCACTGTGGGGCTGAGTGTTGGGCTCGAGAGAAGGCACAACGCGACGGGTGAGTCCCGCAAAAACTACCGATGAGCGCTCTCAACCTTGATCTCCGATATTCTGACGATATCGCCCTGCTTGCCTCAGTCTGATGTCGCGGATGAATGAGTGCTGCTGGAGACGTTTGTCTGCCGCTATCTGCTAGTATCAAGCGCTGGTGACTTACAGGTTGAGTGTAAAGGGTTTAAAGCCTTGTCAAACTCCCCCGGCAGTGTGGAACTAGGTTTCCAACTGGCCACTTCTTCGTTAAGCATGAATATGTCAGGCCGAGCTTCCGGTCGACCGTCGCTCTGTGTCCTTGGCAAGGAGGGCTGTTCTGAGTTCAGCACATCGAGCCACCTCGTCTCCTATAGCGCCACTCAGCATTCACTGACGCAGAAAAGGACTCTGGCACATGGGCGGACCCGCCGTCCCTCCCGGACGCACAGCCACAATCTGGAAGCCTTTTAAGTGCAGTTTTGTCTACGTCATCAGACAGTACAGCAGTAAGACAATGGGCAAACTACGCAAATGACTGCACTTTATGCTGACTGTATATAATTGCACTTAAAATTTCATATGTATATGGAACAGGCCGCCTCGCGCACCCCTCGCAGTCGAGCGCTGTAAAAACATTTTCCGTAAACTGATGTCTTACTGACAACATTTTAGTACGGTGTGCATTTAACATTTATATTGTGTGCATCGTTTTCAATAGGGCCATCAAGGGCATTGCCTACTACCCTAGAATATACTATACTAATGCTTGTGCCCACTTTGACGGCCCGTGATAGAAACCATTAACCTCTCTAAAGTTTGTGGTCTACTGGCAAGCCTGTTCGGCAAGAGCTTTCGCTAATGCTCAGCGTCCTACAATACCCGCAGCCTACAGCGGGACTTGGCATCCCGGACGCGGAAAAGGACTAACCTATAGGTGCACAACCACGAGGCCGCAAACACCGCAACCCGTGAACTGAGAACGCGATGACGATTCCCAGTCCAACTCTCTCACACAGTAACGTAGTGACATTCAAGTGGATACCATCTCGACTCCTCACATTGCACAGTCGTAAAGAGTAGCGTGCATTTTCTGAAGGGCTTCTGTGCATTCAATTCTACATCCCAGGGATGCGAGTGTACTTTTACACCGACAGAGACAACACTTTTAGTGAACAGTGTGGAGTTCCTCGCTGGTGAGATGAACAGTTGGCGAGATGGTAGTTCGCGCATGGCGTCATTAACTAGCGCGGATGCACAGAGATATACGGCTAGCCACAGTTGACGGGACTACCCTCTTGCTGATTTCAAGCAGAAAATGTTCAGAAACGAATGGTGGCTCAATTTCGCAACCCTGCTACTATAATTTGGGATCACATAGAACTGGGCACACTCAAGGGCGTGTGAGTGTGCGGTAACCATCATGCACTCGATTCATCTAAAATCGGTCGTCGGAAGCGGCCCCGGGAGAGCTTGATTCGCCCCCTTCTCTATCCGGTAGGCTGAAGAATCTCGAGTACGACGCGGATGTCACCCCGCCAGCCATAAAATTTACTGATCTGTGGCGTCAGGTATGAATTAATTCGCTAAATCGGTCGGTTAATCGACAAACGTGAAAAACCAAACTATTTCTGAATCGTATCCGTGACCAGGACAAGGGATTCCTCGGGATTAATAACTGCTGATAATTTCCAATACCTCGGGCCGAGGCTGCTGCCGAATCGACAGAGCGAGGATAACACCGTCTCCCCGATGCATGATGGACAGGGGACCTTCAGAGTTTCTGGAAAGTGTCTATGGACCCGACGCGAAACCTCCATCGCCACAAATCCGCGGGTACCTGGCATCTGTCCGGTCAGTCCTCTTATGGCGTTGTGAATTCTGGGCTGTGCGCGTAGACAGGCGAAACCTGGAGGAGCTCTATCGCCATTTTTCGAGTGATCTACTTTTTGCCTGGTTTAGAATGAGACAGTCTGCATTCGCTGCGAAAACATCACAAAAAGGACGACTTGCAGCGGCCTGGTACGTCCTTCATCGTTAGTCTCACAGGGTCAGGGGTGTTGCCCTCTATCCGGCACTACTGCCAGGGTGGAAACAACAGAGAGGAGTTCAACTTAAAACAGGTAGTTTAGGCATAGAGGTGGTTTTCTGACCAGTATTCAGTCTACAGATGTTGGGTACTGGTAGCAGTCTATCAGCGAGGCGCTAACTACAAAGACGGGTGGACTGGGTTAATTTGTCGTTAGCAGCGAGTCATATAGACGGTCATACTCAAGCTCTAGCGACGAGATCCCCCGCGGACCGCCCGTTGACCGAGTCGCGATCAACCCGATGCATCCACAGGTAGCTGCGAAACGGCGGGCGGTGAGACCCGGCCACAGGTCGCAATAACGAATGCTGCCTGTCTTCCCATTGGGTTTCAACCGTCTTCTGACCAGATGAAAGCATACCTTTACTAGGCCAGTCCACATAATGGCTGTCTGGTGAGCCACGGTTCGGTGAGATTTTCGGGCGATCAGGGAGCTATAGTCGAAATGAATTGCCAGGGGGAGAGATGGCTTCCTGCTAGATAACAGACGTAACGGTCGAAGCAGACTCTCGACGAAGACGATAACCGCCACCCACCCTTTCGACAAAAACGTTCACCTCTGAGGCCGACGAAGAGGATTAAAATGTAGGGCTCACAGGGTAGGAAACATTTTATACAGAAAAAGGCACCAGTTCCGAGGCTGCTTCACTCAGCCTCCATCACTTTGGTTTCCTCCTGCCCGTCCTCTGGTTGGCTGTTCTGATGTCGCATCTTACGCCGCTTCCTCTGATGTCGGAGGTGGCGCTCCTTGATGTGCCGCTGCATTTCCGCCTTGTTCTTCTCGTAGGCCTCTATGCCACTGCGATCCATCGGACACTTGGACAGCTCACTCAGCAGCTGCAGCCGTAGGTGTGGGGCTATCCAACAACAGGGGGGTAGAAAAAGCGCGAACAGTGAGGTAGGATTGTGAAACTGAAAGGCATGTGGTGGATGTCGGGTGTGAAAACACTCCTCGAGACTGATTAGCGAGTTTCAGGAAGCAGTTCACAGGGATGAAATACAATTGCTGGAACAAGACGTCTGCCCGCCTGGCGCTTCGGATTCTAACTCGAATCACAGACAGTCGCACAAAGGGGACGGCTCTCCGGCTCCCGAGGTTAATAACCAAGCGCAATAAATTCCCCCTTAATCCACCTATTCGGCGCTAAAACATTGCGCGGTCAAAATGAACGGCCGCGGGGACGCGCGAACGCCGTTTTCCGTGGCAGTATCGGTGAGCCAAGTGGTCGAGTAATTATGTACGCCACCAATCAACACCAGTGGCAATATTACGGCAGTTAACGACTTGGATGCAGAAGGGCAGGCCGTGATTACGTCAACTACGATTACCGACGGTGAATAGGTGGCATGGCAAGCGCGTCTCTTGTGCATCCATCACTGATGGTGGAATCTGCAGGGAATCCGAAACGGACTAAGGATTTTCTCGAGGTACGGGTTATTCCCGGAAAAGAAGGTATGAGCGAGAGAGAGAGAGAGAGGTCTACAACAGGTGTTTGTCGACTTCTGATCACTGTAAGCTCAGGGGCTGAACGAGGCTCTGATTGCACTGCCTTTTGCTGTTGCTAATAGACGTTGGCCCGATGGAACCTTATAAATCACGTGACCGGGGTCAACAACATGTGCTAGAATGGCGCTGTTTATGTTCCTAGTTTAGCCCCTTTCCAGCACGTCTCACCCCCAATATGCACCTATTGCCCCACTTGCTCCTATGAGGCAGGTTACATTGGTCGCACAAGTCGGAGTCTATCCAAAGGAATACAGGAACATCTCCTGATGTGGCTAGGGAAAGGCAAAGCTAGGTTTAAGTGAGAATCCGAAACGTCAGGCGAATAAAGCCCTTGTTCCAGCGATCGCTTATTCGCCTGATCAAGATGAGGATTACTGGGCAACCAGTGGAGGCGCAAGCGCAGCGAACAAGGTGCTAGAGAACTGCCAGCGAAAAGCATGCTGTGTGGGCTATGGAGACACTCACAATCCTTGAGACTCGCCAGCTAGTCCTCTGAATACTGCCATGGGCATTTTCGCAACCTCTTATAAATGCTCCACAATTCTTGTAAACACTTCTCACAAGACCCATTATCCGCAGATGGCAGCGATATACACTTAAATACGCTTGGAAGCCGCAAAGGCCGAGGCGCGGGATGGCGAGGGACTACCGTACTGAAAGATAAATTCAGTCTATGATTGGGCAGAACGTCCGCAAACTGTGTTGACGGGCCGATGCCATCAGCTGCAGGGCAAAGTTATTCAGCAGCAAAACGAAACCAGTGTGCTCCGTCCTGCAAACGCTGCTCAAGCACTAGTGAGGCCCCAAGGTTTGAAAGCTATTTCGAGAGGCAGCCTGGCTTCAGAAGCGTCCCTCTGTGGTTGGGACAATCAACGTGCATTAGGGAGGACGAAAAAATTAAAACAAAACAGCTGGCTAAATCAAGCTTCAGCGTCGCAACCAAAATACTACGAGTACTATTGGGTGCAGCCGGCAGACCAGTCCATAGTATAAACTGCCAAAATCGGATTGCAGCAAAGGCTGTTGTTGGAGGGAGGTAGCGTATACAACTATGTCAGCCACCCTAATCGTCAGGCATTTACACAGCCCCTCCACTCCCGGCAATTTTCTTCTGGTACCCAACGTACCTGTCAGTCCTCGGTCGACAGGCCTTTATAGGATAGCCCAGCTCACGACTTGCACTGGCCAATGAATGTGAACTGTAATCTCACTGAAACCCCTCTGCTGGTCATGTCTATTGCAAATTGGTATATCGGTTGCACATAACAAGCAAGAGGTAATTTGGTTGCGCCGCTAGAGTTTTCTCAATGCATCCAAGGCGCACTGTCTTAAAAGAACGTACAAGAAAAAGGCCCTTGATAATATTTGCCTTGGGAGAATTACTGAAATGACATAAGTATGGGAGAACGGGGAGAAATATCAAATTGAATGGCTGGTTAGAGAGTGTTGTAGTGTACGGATTAACCTGGCATATTTCAGGCACATCAGTGATACATTTAAATCGAATCAAACTTTATAGGTAACTGAAGCAGAACGTTCGAAAACTGGGGGTTCAACAGCATTACCAACGAAAACAAAACTCTGGAGTAACAAGCCTCGGATTATCTGCCGTCATCAGTTAGTCGTGCAACAATCACAGGCCGCATGTCTGAGGCTTGAAACACCCGACGAAATTAGCACCGAGCAAATCTTTCACCTGAAATACGGTAACACATCACATCCATCTGAGCCGTCATTGGCTAGACGTGCAAAAATCGTAGGCCGCACGTCTGAGGTTTGAACCCACCAACCAACTGAGCACCGAGCAAAGCTCTTACCTTCTGAACTACGGTTCCACATCGCCCAACCAAGCCGGGTTCCGTGCTGGACGTGGATGCGCAGACCAGATATTCACCCTGAGGCGCATTCTCGAATTTCGCCATAGCTACCAACAACCGACGGCCGTCTGCTTCATTGACTTTGCCGCCCCGTTCGATTCCGTCCATCCTGAGTCCCTACGGCGGATCATGACATTAGATGGTGTGCCGCCAAAAATTATCACCATGATCAAGGCCGACTATCGCTCCACTACTGCGAGAGTCCTGGTCCGCAACAATCTTTCCCAACCGTTCGGTATTCGGTCTGGCGTCCGACAGGGTTGTATCCTGGCACCCATACTGTTCAACTACGCTATTGACTGGATCCTCGGGAGGGCCCTACGCGAGAGTGACGGCGTTCAGTTTACACCCGGACATCGACTGACTGATCTCGACTATGCCGATGATATCGCCGTACTTGCTTCAAGTTTTGGTGATCTGCAGTCTATGGCGTCACGGCTGAACGAGGTCGCTAAATTGGTCGGTTTGTCCATAAACGCTGGGAAGACCAAAGTGTTCTCAAGCTGCATCCCTGACCAGGAGAAGGCATCCCTCGGGATTGATGGCTGTCAACATGAAGAAGTAGAGTGTTAAATACCTCGGGGAGAGACTGCTGCCAAATGGACAGAATAAGGACGACATTGTCGCCTGGATCGATGCTGCCCGCTGGGTATTCTTAAACCTTCGGAAATGCCTATGAATCCGACGTGACCTCTCCATCGCCACTGAGATTCGAGTGTACCGTGCATCTGTCCGGTCTGTCCTTCTCTACGGTTGTGAATGCTGGGCTTTGCGCGTGGAGGATGAGCGAAAACTGGAGGTATTTGACCACCAATGCTTGAGAACTATCCTTCGAGTGAAGTTCACCGACTTCGTCTCAAATGAGGCAGTCCGCGCTCGCTGCGACAACATCGCGAGGATAACTCAGACCATCCAAGAAAGACGACTGAAGTGGTTCGGGCATGCTCCTCGTCGTCCACCTCAGGAGCTCAGTGTTACTGCCATCGATCCGGCACCGTTGCCCCATTGGAAGCGTCGAAGAGGGGGTCAGTTCAAAACCTGGCTCGAGACAGTTCGTCAAGACATGGAGGTGGTTCTTGGACCTTCGGTACTCGGTCTCCGTCGTTGGCGAAGGGAATGGGTTGGGCTGTCCAGGTCTGCTGTCGCGGATCGTAATGCGTGGAGAGGTACTGTTCGGGACATCATCGAGGCCGGCTAGATCAGGCATGATCGCAGCCGTATCAAGTCCAAGCAAGTACGGTTCCACATCATATCCCTCTGAGCCGTCATTGACTGGTTGTACGACAATCGTAGGTCACATGCCCGGGCACAGATCTGACCTACGGTTTCGCGTCCAATCGTCTGAGACGGGAACTATTCAGTCGGAAATGAGCAGCCCTGTTTGACCCGTAATAGAGAAGTGCTACCAGCGACGACGGCAACAGTCTCCGCTTCGTAATTCGGATGCGCTGATGAGCGTCAATGATGTCGATAAGAAACCCACGAAGGCCTACGTGTCAGGGGCGACGGCGGCGGCTTCTTTCGCTCAACCAAGCCTGTTATAGCTATCAATGTTAGTGGGCGGTAATTCGGTTTCTAAATGCGAACTACAAAAGCAGGGAAAATGTACACCATCAGAAGACTGTCGTCGTACCGAATGGGGCTACGGTCCGAACCTACCGGGCAGTGTAAGCTTTCGCTTCTTGTGAAAATAAGTGCAACGTGGTAAGATTGGGACTGGCTTACTAGCCAGCGTCGAAGAGTCACACCTGGGGGATTCGAACCCGGAGCCACTCACGTAAGACTGTGCGCTTCAAGTTGCCGCAGGAGTCCCAAGTTTGTGGAAATTCCAACCAATATGGGGATAAGTACTCCCCTATCACGTCACAGGTGATTCTATGCCGAACTTCAGGTGGTACCTATTCGCCGGGTCCTTATTTTAGCTCTAACGCTCTTGCTTTTTATGCTGACCCTAACACTCCCTGAATTTTGGCGCAAGACCACTTGGGGTACTTATTTCTAGAAAGCGTCCGAATCTTATTTGACGGTGGGCACAGTTTCATTCGTCCCTGTATTCGGCCATCGTCGTTTCCACGTCGTTCTTTTGTTAGCTTGTTCTGCGAAAACTGCCCTTTATATGCAAATGGAAGCCAAGAAAAATGTGAGCACAGATGACAAGCATAACAGAACTATAAAGTTTCGGCAGGAAAAACCTGGAATGATAACAATAATAAGTCCAGAAGACGTACCATCGGGAAAGAGAAGACCTTCGGGAAGCGGGCCCCAATCAACAGGCTGCAAAAAAGAATGGAAAACAGTGATTAAAACGGTTGTGTCGTACGCTCGCTTGGTTCCTTGCTGTTGAGCGCGAAATTGAACCTTGTATTGGTCGCTGACCTACAGAAAACTCAAAAGGAGCGTGTGGATAACGGTCCTCGAGACGGTAGAAAAGCACTAACCGATCATGTTACGGAACTCACTCTTCCCGTTGTGTCTTGGGGCTGTCTCTCTCTCTCTCGAGATCAACCAACAACTGCACGCCGGCGCGTACTATGGACAAACAACTTTACCGAAAATGACAAGGGAGACTGGAATTTCCACTCCTGGCTTACTGGCCGTCATCAGTCAGCCATACCCAACTCTGACGTGTGGAACACCTGGGGCTCGATCCAAAACGTCGCAGGATCGAGTTCCAGGTGTTCCACGCCTCGACATTGGGTACGACTGACTGATAACGGTTAGTAGGCTAGGAACGGTCATTTCAGTCTCCCTGGTCTTTGTCGGTAATGTGGTCTTGCCCAAGCAGAATTTCCCAAGTAATTCACCTAGAATCCACCAGATGACTACAAGGCTCACGTCATTCATAGATATTTTTGGCAGTCAACTTACTGTATCAGATTTGGTGGATTCCAGACGTTGCAGTAGGTTGGGCGGGTAACTTGGCCCAAATGTGTTTAAACTCGAGTCGTCCGGCGGGACCTCGTAGCTCAAGTGGTTAGAGCGTTGGCTGTAATAAGGCCTTCCCCTTACTGCGTGGGTTCGAATCCCACCGAGGCGCCGAGTTTTTCACAATTGGGTCAGTATGAATTATTCGAAATCTGCCAAAAAATATCTAGAATGTCACTTGGCGACCAAACCCTATTCACACACAGCCATGTTACTTACAATTGGTGAGTAGCTGTGATTACTTAATAGTAAATAATGCGTTATCGGTTGGCCGTTAATACCGACTTGTAACTTACGTTACTCCACTGGGCTGAGGTACTATCTTTACCGGCGACGATACGCAGTGGCCACGCAGTCAGTCTCGAAGTTGGCTCCATCAACGCGACAACATCCACCGTGCTCTCCGCTGGTTCGTAGTTAACCAGTGCGCAATCGAGAAGGCGGTCGCCGGGCTTGAAAGACACACCAGATACAACGCCACTGCCCGATGCGGCAGATCGTTTGAAGCGGACTTCCCCATCGTCTGTGGTCATTGACACAGCCAGGAGGCAGTTGTGGCTTCAAAGAGAATAAAAGAGAAGGGTGAAAAAGACGGCAGAAGACAGTCAACACCCAAGATCTATAGTCGGCATTGTTTTCAAAATTTTGAAAAATAGCGTCGGACGCGTGAAAAGAGGGCTTTTGGCATGCCACTCGAATGAAGCAAGATGGCCGGAACGATCAACTTACGAGCGAATGCCTACGATAATGAGGTCCTTAACGAAGAGCACGCGTACTGCCAGAAAGGCCTCGCCAGATTCTGGGGCGTTGCAATCAGCCAACTCCTTCAGATGCGGGCGCAGATCCAAGAATTCTAACTCAATGCCCTTCAGAGCGTCCCATAACCGCAGAATTCCATCCTAGAAATTAAGAGTAAGTTTTTTTGTTAAAAATGGGCAGTCTCATACAAGTTAATTAATTTCGCGACCCGTAGTTGATGAAAGTTATTCTTTATTTGATGACTGCTCGCTCAGTCCTACGTTGGCCTGCCAAGGACCTAGGAGTGACGCAATCACTTAAACTTAACAGTCTATATAAGCAGCCTGCTCTTCCGGGGTTTCTGGTAGACAAATCACGTCAAATAAGTTTCTTTGCACTGATCCAAGGAAAACTCCATGTCTTCCTTGAAACCTGGTAGATGCACATATAAAGTGCTTTGAGGTCTTCCTTGCAATTAATAGAGTTACCTAAACGGCATTTATGACTTACACGATTCTAAAAATGCGAAATCCCATCGCAAGCGCGTTCATCGGAATATTTTTAACACTTGCATGGAAAGCGAATAAAGCACCATAGTGTGTGTGTGGAAATGGAACTTCAAAATTTCAGGTTCCGAAACTGAGAAACTTTGTTCTACTCACAACGAGTTCTACTGGGGTGTTGAAAACCGTCCTTCAAAAGTAATTCCCACACAACGACTACGAGAAACGTGTTTTCCATAAAGGTTTTCTAATAAAAGACCGACTTTATGCAGACATCTAGAAGACTGAAAGGCACAGACTGTCTAAGTAGTTATTCCAGTTGAAATGAACTACTCTTAGGGGGGTCGAGACTGTCAAAAATGGAAAACAAGTTTGGCATAATGCAGCAATTGAATTGAAATTGTGTTGCATACTAATTAACACGACAACGCAGTGGAGGTTCGTGTTTCGACAAGGATATTAGAAATTCCCGACCAATGGCTACTAGCCAAGTGAAGTGGTGTCACGCAGCGCAACGGCCGTAATTCATTCTGCAGCCAGGATAGATCGGTAAGCATCACTTCGATGAGATGAAATCGAAGGGGGGGGGAATAGGGCAAGTTCTCGACTGTCTCACGAATGCGTTGGCAGCTGGTGCTTGGGTATGACTGGCTGGTAACGTTCATTTAACTCCCCGGCGCCGTTGACGATAACACTTAACAATGAACGTAGTCTAACCGCGTGGTAGTTTTTCAGTAGATGTATAAAGATGCTCAACTCTGCCGAAAAGCCGGAGAGTTCTCCGACTCCTTTCTTCAGGCGGCTCCTCTGCTGCATGTGAGACCCGAGGGTTTTACCCCCTTGTGTGTGTGACATCCTGGAGTGTGCGTGAGGAGGTCGAGGCGGGTCGTGCACGTAGCGCGCACAGACGAGCTTCCTAGGTATGTCAGCCACTGTGCCCATCCCCGCACCAGACATCTGACTGGCGCGGACAGTGGCTAAAAGACTCAGCACATTTTCCTCACTATAAACAATTTGACGCGCTTGAAGCTATCAGGGTGGGCAAAGCCGTGGTTTGAAAGGTGGCAAACTGAGGGGAAACTTGGACCTCGCAGTCCGCCCAATGTGCGTGTGGAGTGGCCGACTGGAGGTCTGAGAGCCAGACTACAATGGCTCCTTCTCAATGGCACCTCCACCTAGTGGGATCCGAGCAGGGTGCTGTGGCACACCTAGGGGCAGCTCCGGCAGCGCCGGCCAGTACTCCATCTGCCCCCTCCGGTCTTCTTGACTACGTCTTGACACCAGATGCAAGTGGGGAGTGGGGAAAAGAGAGAGAGCGCGGTAGATAACGCGAACGTCTACTATCACTATAAGTTAATTCACGCACGAGTCACCGTGATCGCGCTCAGCCTGCTGTGTAGCACACGGTGGACACTATCGAAATCGTCCAATCAAAAAAGGTCTGAGAGTCAAGTCTTAGGTTTTTGGTTGATATTTCAGGGGTTCAGGGACTAGAGCGAATGAATGTACCAACAAGAACATACAGAAGAAGCTGAACGGCAGGCAAAAGCACAACAGTGATTCCCGCAAACTTACGATCGCAATGGACACCAAGTGAGTGCTGTCGACAAAAGTTGCATCCAAGACTGGTCTAAAAGTGGGAGATCCTGTGTCAGAAAGTTGGCGTGAAAGCATACCCGGTGTGTCCCAGACAGAAGGACTCAATCACATGGAACTCCTTGGTCCGGCTAACTCGAATCTTCTCGTCTCGATCAGCAGTAGCCATCAGCCCTCCATCAGTGCTCACGGTCTGTAGGGGGTGAGGGATGAATAAACATTAACTGAATAGCAGTGACAGATACAATTGGAGCCAGCAAATGTCTGAAATTGTTATGCAACGACAGGCTGCAGTTGAGAAGCCGTCGCGAAATTTTCTGGCGCCATTAAATGCTGCTGTCCTTGCTTGCTTTAAATTCACTTCGGGGAAATATTACTTCACAACAATCTTTGTTGTTGGGGCAGCTTCAAGTCCGTCCTCTCGCTGCAATGGATTACTTCTGTTGTGGCACGCGTAAACGGGGGCTCATGCAGGCCGCCCACGTTCGACTCCATTTACGGTGAAACGCGGCAAGAAAGCACACATTCGGCAAGAGTGCGATGAATTTTCAATGCCAAATTAAACTCACAAGGCATGTGAGAAGAGAGAGATGACCCAGCATGAAATCACCCTCATCTTCATCGTCCGTTGCCACTTGAGTAGGGCTCAGTTCGTCCAATTTGAACTTGTGCACATATCCCGCTTTCTCACCGACGAGTACACAGGAGTCGTCTGGTGAGACTGCGACGCAGCTTGCCTTTCGCGGCACCTTGCTGTAGCGGGGTTAAGTTGGGTGAGTTTAAATATACGTACTATTCACCATGGTAGGTCCAGATACCGTCTGTCGACTTGAAGATCAGAACCCGTTTGCAGTCGTCGCAGAGAACAAAGTAGCGTCCGGATACAGGAGAGAGTGCGCAGGCTGTCACGCCTTCAACTTTGATTGGTTTATCTGGCTCGCTAGATGAACATAGAGGGGGAAGGCTGCGCGCCACAAAATTATCCAATCTACCTGAAAAGCCTGTCAAAAGCGATGGTTTGGGAGTGCTTTCTGAAACCAGAAAGGATTTGGTAAACCGAAGGATGATACGAGTGATCTTACGCATGCTTATAGGTGCTGATCCGTGGTCCGAGAACCATCAAAACTTCTGAGGACTGGGGCAGCGATGAGAGCATTGTGGATACTTGAAAAAGGAGGCAAGGGAACAAACAGAAATAAGGCGAAGTCGATAACGCAAAAAGCGCAAAGGAAGGAAAGACCAGAAGTCGACAAAGGCAAATATAGCAGGTCAACCCTAGGTCTGGATAATATGGGACTTAAACTCGGGCACATCCCGCGACCTGGTATAAGAAAGTTCATTCTACGGTGTTGACTATTTCTTATCTCAACCGAAAGAACAACGGACCCCTGGCTCAATGGTAGAGTGATGGTCTACTTAACACTTAACGACTAGAGAATCCGGATTCGAATTCTAGATCCTGAGACCTGAGATTGGGTATGGCTGGCTGACGTCGGATAACAAGCCGGAAATGGGCATCCCGGCCTCTATTGTCCATGCCGATATTCTGAGTCCGTAATTAGTTCAGATTAGTGAAATATCCAGGTCTACCGTGACATATTATTGGATCGTGACGCAGAGATAGTGATAAGTTTCAGTCCGTCACAGGTAAATTTGCAAGGGCTTTACACTCTGGGTCCACACTGGCTTACCCAACCGCAAATAAAAAGTATGCACGCCTCGGGTTTGCTGGCATACCTCGGTATAAGCGCACCAAGAGCCCCTTAAACCAGTTTTACGGTTTTGATGGAAACGCATCAACTGCACAGACTGCGACCCGATCTTTGACGAAACTTCGACGGGGGCATGAATAAGACTGACGACAAGCTTGGACTGTAAAGTCGGATTCCCAAATGCTGACGCCTCGTTGGCCTTAGAATAAACATCTCAATAGGGACCAGTCAAGCAATCAGTTCAAAACACCCGCTTTCACTGGGTGACTGATCAACGGAGAAGGTTATTTGGTTGTTCATAGGACTGGAGTTAACCTCTCCAGTTTAGAAAAAAACAAGAGGAAACAAGGAAGAGAAAAGCGAAGACAAGATACACTGATTGAAAGCCTTACTTGTGAAGTGCGCAAAATTATGTCATAAAGGAGTCAAACCAGACACCGGCGAATATAGAAACCACTTATAGCAGTTATGCACAAGCACACGTTTACAAGTACTGGGGCGAGCTCAATTGCAGACTTTTACAATGCGTGTGGTCGAGTTAAGTCCTCGACCATTACACAGTGGGAAACCGCTGCATAAATGGCGAAACGGCTGCCAATTTCGCAGCATCGAATCGTCTACTCGGTACCCTAGGAGAAAATCAGTCATAAGCTGGTACTCACTGGGCAAGCTCAGTACTAGGCTCTAGCTTGATGCCGACAGTGGAAGCAAGAATTGCGTCGAGCATGCACTTTACATGCATTTACAGGCTCGTTCACTCTCACTAGTTGCGGTCCGTTTTGAGGAGACCCGACGCCTCAATATGGCTGTGATTGCAACCCACAAACAATGGGTATCAGTGATGGGGTGAAAAACTGTAAGAGTAGGAAAAGTGCCTGACGAGAACTGTCCTCTTAAGAAAATCCGCAAGTGGCATTGGGCAGGAAATGTTGCATGCCATTCTGCCCGCGTCCAGGAAACAGAGAGCATGATTATAATTACGATTTCTGTTTCCCGAACTACGAGCCTATAAGCTGGGACGACACCCCCGGTGTGTCGCTCGTCTAGAAAGTCAATTAAATGTCGTTCATGCTCTATCCTAATATAGGTTTCATTGCCAGAACCCCTGATGACATCATAGTCGCCCAGGGCTAGCCCAGCCGCGGGCTACTTTTTTGATTGGCTGACGCTTTTCGACGATCTCACCGCGCAGGAATTCTTTCGTGTGACTAGCACCACGCATGCACCATCAGTCCATTAAATTACTAGCCGTGCATAAACCCGCAAATCCAGACGGGCTAGCAAATGTCTGGCGCTGGGCGCCTACATGCTACCAGGGACCACCACAAAGTGCGTTTAGGAAAGAATGTGTGACCTACGGCCAGCGTGAAGAGTTTTCAGACAACACTCATCTCGTCGCTAGATCTTCAAACACAGCACTGTTCATAACAGCCCATTCTTATATTTTGAGGTGGCTTTGCCTTTACACAAAAATCAGTGCATCAGAATTCCCTGTATTCAATCGTATTGCATGATCGTGATGAACAAAACTAATTGACTCAAGCTTTGGAACACAAAACGGGCTAAAATCCGAATGCAGGGTCAGATGGGAAACTTTTAAATAAGTGTAGAAAAGTCACACGAAGATTACTTTGGAATCCAGAGCGATGGAAGTGCGTTTAAACACACTTCTATCGGAGCATGGCAAATAATCCCTAATAATGGAGTCCGATGATCTTGGGCTCCCTAGTAGCAATAGATATCGAGTAGATATACGTGAATAGCGATTTATCGAGATATGTATGTCTGTCACGTAATTGGCCACCTCGCCTAAGCAATCTGGCATTTTATTGGTTGCCGTTCTTTAGTCGCATTTCGATTGCGCGCACACGCGGGCGCGCCATTATTTCGCGTGAGCGGCGTGGAACGCGTGAGTTGACAGTTCTTGCACTTACTTGTCATTATTCATTTATATCTCTTGTTTGCCACTGTTCTATGTTAACCATGTTAAGGCAGGAATCCCGGAGAACACGATTACGTCGTATTAAGAGGTATGGAAACAAGGCTTTCCAGTAAGTGATGGAAAATAACGTCGTTATACCTTTCAGGAGCGCCAGGAGAACGCCGATGACATTCGAAACCATCCCTTCGGGCGACCAGACAGACGACGGTAATGTGACTTCTTGAACTTATTCTCCAAAAGTGTCATCAGCTAGCGATCAGATGCGTATATTTCTTCTGATATGTAAGCAAATGGCAACACTGCCGTCCACAATCGATGTCACTGAGAGCCACTGGAAGGTTATTTCCAACTACTGGACAAAAGCTTCCGAAACCAATCGGTATGCTACCCAATTTATAACTCCCTCTTGCGGTAGACCTACTGTCTCACATGCCTTGGTGGGCACAATGTAGACGACTGGAAAAGTCGCTGGACAGCTACGTCCAAAGAAAACTAAAGACGTAAGTTTAATTGAGTGCAGTTTATCAAAACTTATTCTGAATTTTAGACAACATCCCAGGAGCTTGTACTGATTGCTGGCATCTGTCAACACAGTGATCACGCGTGAAAGGATTCAGCAAAGCATTGTACATATCTAACTAATTTACTTTTCAATATAATTATTCCACAATAACTATCTCCAAAGTACCTCTGGGTAACAGGGGGGATTAAACACACGACAAGGAATGGATGGGGGATAGAAAAGGGCATTGGGCGTAGCATATTACCCCCCCTTTTCGCCGATAGCGTAGTATCTCGATTAATCGATATCTAATAGATATCTATGTTTGCGTCAAAATAGATATCTAATCGATATATATATGTCGATAAATAGATATCTAATAGATATATACTCGATATAGTTTGCTACTAGGGCTGAGTATGTTGCCTAAATATGGTCCCTTCAAATGTGCCTCAAACAACCGAATGGCTCAGCCTGGTGATACGTGAATATCCCAAACTATGATTCGGGATATCCCTATATAGGGATATTCCATATATATGGGGATAGCACCGATAAAAATACTAGGGGACAATTGGTAAAATTAGTTTATTGGCTAGCGGACAGATCTAAAAGACTATGAATGTTAATAAAGACTTGGTTACATCCACAAAAATTCGAGGAAAATATATCAGGGTGACAGCATGTGCACCAGCAACAAACGACCGGCACTTCGCTAAATTAACAGCCGTTAAACGCAATGAAGCTCAAGGCCAACCAAAAAACACTTTGAAGGCGACCTCGACGTCACGGCGTTGCTTAAGGTCAAAGTAATGTAGTTAGAAAATAGGGCTTAGCATTTATTTGGGGGTTAAGAAAAGCTGAATGCCCTGCGGATTATTTGATGCCTTTACTCCTCCTAACCGACTAGCCTTAAACACTGAATTGTCGTTACGGCACACAGAGAGTGTAGGCAGGCAATGCGTAACACAAAAGGTGAGGAAAGTGGACTAACTACTGAATTGTGATACAGAATTGGCAGTCGATAAACAGAAGATAAGCTTTTGAGAAATATGCCAAACTTGAACGGAAATGAAAAAGCTTTTCGAGAATGGATTGATGGTAACTGGAAAAGCTGTATGTTATGAGGGCATATGCAAGTCGGAAGACTTCTTCAAGATGTAGCAGCCCGCTGATGATTAACTATTTTGTTTGTCATGTATGCATGAACGGTTTTGTAGAACGTTTTCTAGAAATGAGCGCACGACAGCATCTGAAGAAATGAACTACTGCCTATACCGCTTTTTTGACTGATATCCTGTGCAGCTCTTCATTGTCAGCCAGTTGATTTCTTGTCGTAGAATTGAAGGTTGTGATATTCTTTCACGTGAACTTAGCCTTTATTTTAACGATTAAGCCAAAGCAACCGAGAACGAGTCACTTTCGAAACCCCAAATTGGAAACAGCCCTTTTTCACATAATTGCTGCGGACTGTACAGGACTGTAAATGCGCGTTGATAGCTGAAATATATCTGAGGCCTTGCCAGCTCCTTGGAATGAAATTACAACCCCTCTTTCCATTACACCAGTCTTGTTGCGGATAAATGGTGCAATACACATGGACATGGCTTAAAAAATCCACGACGACTTAAACTTTTAGTTCTCTGTCGTCTCGCGAAGGTGTGCTTAGGGTCACTTATAGTTTTTCCCCGGTTTCGCAAGTTATGTTGATAAAGTTGGCTGACCGATAGTCTCTATCTAGCCATCGAGACTTCTATTTTGTTAACTTCGTGGCCGTGTACTGCTATCGTTAGACTGACACACATAGGAGGCAACAAATGCTATGGTGAGGTCGGTTTTAGGAGTTCGGTCATGAGAGGTTATATCTAAGCGCAGCGGGTGACCTGCAATTCTATTGACTGAAGCGCCAAGTTAACAGTTCGAAAGTCGGCCATAACGATGAAGCTGAACGTACTCGTCTGCTTATTTTCATGGAACACTAGAGAAAACTGCACAGAAAA